AGCTTGCACTTTTCACTGTGTACTGAAATAGAAAGTGCATTCTGTTCCTTCTCCAGTAAGGACAGTGATCACTCTGTTCTTTCTCCAGTAAGGACAGTGATCATTTTGCAATTTTTGGCTCAAGCAACATAAACTTCTATTTCCCAGGAATATTAGTTTAAATGATGGCTTTTTTTTTTTTGTCTTGTGAAATGACAGGGAGTTCCCAAAGTCTTCTTCCTCCTGTATATACAAACAGGATTACAAAAGAGAGGTAGCAGATAGACCCCCCCAGTGAATGAACAAGGATTTATTGCTCAATGTACTGCCCTTCTGTGAGCAGTGCCATGCTGCTCTGATCATCAGGTTTTATGTATTTCCTGTATATGGCATCACTGAGCCTTATTTGAGTATTTGGGAACTTTGAAATTCCCATTCCCAATTTTTACTTTTGCTACTGGCTTAGAAACAGCTTTTAGACTGCTTCTGATGTGTGCTCTTTTTGATAACTTACGAAACATTTCATTCAAAGTGCTTTCATTGCAAATTCAGGAGTTGTGTTTGATGCATAAATTGAAGTGACAAACATTTTATTTAGGAAATATACTTGATTCTTCCAGGATTTATGTGCCCCCAAACTGGGGTATATTCTTTTTTTTTTTTTTTTGGCTAAATTATTTGGCCTTTCAGGTATCAACAAATTGCAAGGAGTTCTGTTTTGACTAAAAACAAACTCAGAATTGCTATAATGTGCTTAGAAAACAGAGCAGATCTTAGCCCTTTGTTCCCACAGGTACAGATGGGGAAAGAAACCTCACCACCATCTGGCTTTTGTCTCTTGGACTTTCACATAAACCAAGAAAGCCTAATGCACAGAAGGGTAAATTTTGTTTCTGTAAATACAAATTTTTAAAACTATATTTATTATTGTCTTTTTAAAAAAACACAATAAATTCACATCTAAATTGACAGTTTACTCAACAATGATAAAAACATGAGGTATTTTTCACTTTCTGACAGATTTCATCTGCTTGACAATGTTGCAACTTGAATTAATCCTGTGTTCCTTGTGAGTGCAGGTTGTGATCTGCCTGCAGACAGTGAAGTCCCTTTATTTTGGCCAGAGAACTGCTCCTGAGAACACTCTGATCTCCAGAGCTGCAGAGCATTCTGCTGTTTGCCACTTTTACAGCTTGTTTATACAAATAAAGACTCGATGCCACTGAAGCGTTACCCATCCAAGCTCACAAACATGAAAAATCCATGTGGAGTTAAAAATGCACATCTGGGTAGTGCTCAGGGCTGCCTACAGGAGTTTCAGCTCTGTGTTATCTTCCAACAGTGTCACTGAGCCTTGGCAGCCCTCCACCCCTCACCAAATCAGGTGAGCTCCACTCCTGCCTCCCCTACAGGGCTAAAACCCGTTCTGCTTCATTTTAAACCATTGCCCACCTGCTGGTGTGTTCGACCCAGCTCTGCCAGGAGGCTGCAGTCCCTTCCAGCCTCGGCTCTCTTCCAGCCTCGGCTCTGACCTGCAGTGTCCTGCCCTGCTTGCAGGCTCTGGGCTCCCCAGGATGGTGCCTCGGGCACTCCTTGTTGGCCAGCAGGCTTTAGACAGCTGAAGGTTCTCGTTTGTGACAAACCCCACAATTTTTTTAGGAAAATGGCTGGGGAGCACACAGGTACTCATGTCAGCTGGCAGAACAGAGGGTGGGATATTTCTTCACAAGCAAGAGCAACAAATGCTCTGATATGTTCAAAATGAACAGCTGGATTGACATGAAATGTATCTCAATTGCTGGTTAATTTGTCAGGCATGCTGTGATTCTGATGGAGCAAAGGAGGAATCCAAAGGCATTTTTACCCTGCCCCACGCTATACTCTCTAGTTGGGCTCAGTCTGGAGTTCATGCACTGTGGTGCCATGAAAAGCACCCATAAGAAGTGCTGCTGCAGATCAGAAATGTTTTAGACAATGTAGGAGACAAACTGCAAGTCAAAATAAGGCATTTGAAATCAGGCTGTCAAAACTGATTAAGGCTGGAGAGTTTATTTACTTGCCTTCCACTCAGCAGGAAGGAGACAGAAGTGATTAACTTGTGTTCTGTTGACCAGTCCTTCTCACAGGGACAAATTTCTGACCTTTGATGAATGTTTTCTGTTCCAGACATTCACAGAAATAAAACCTACAAGTATAGGAATATTTGTTTTATGCTTGATACTCCCAAACTGGGAAATAAGAAACCAGTGAGGGACAGATGCTGTGGACTGGAAGACAAGCCGAGGCTGTGGCCCCTTAGCTTCAACTGGAGCAATGTTTTGTTCTGGGCAGTGCCCTCCCCTCTCCCTTGTCCTCTCATCTCCACACTCACAGCCAGCACAGGGTCCCCAGTGCTCACCCTGTGCCCAAGGCAGGGCAGGGTGGGCACCAGGCTGAGCTGGCAGCTCTTGCCCCACAAAGAGCAGGTCCAGCTCTCTTCTGCTTCCTGCAATCCCAGCCTCTGGTGGTGCCCTGGAGGAGCAAAGCTGTTACCACTTCAGTGGCTGAATGTCTGTGGAGACTTTTCCTCCTTATCCTTTTCCTGACATTGTATGAGTTTATTTAAATATATTTTGGCTTGTAATGAGCCACGTTATTTATTTTGGGCTGAGACAATGCATGGAGCAAGGGAGTTCAGACCTTCAGGAGCTTTGTGTGCAGTAGGACTTCACAAAGAAAGCATCACAGGGTGTCTCTGTTCCCATGGCATCTTCCCAGGGGCTTTCAGGCGGTGTACACACACAGGTGGTGTAGGACCTGGAGATGCTTCAGAAGAAGGCAACTCTTCAAGTTTCAAGGGTAGTAGCTGGATTTAAAAAGCCACTGCTCAGTCACCTTGTGGGGAATTAAGGAGAGCACAACTCAATTTTAGAAGAGTGCAGATTGCTGCACCCACAGGGTTAAGGAATGTCTTTCACAAAGCAGGGAAACTACTGAGATCCTTTCATTAAAATAAATATTTTTCTTTTCCCTATTAAGACAAATCTTCCCCCATCAACTAAAATCCATCTTGTAAGTGGCAGTTGATGAATACATTAATGAAGGATTTATTGGTATATTTCTTAAAGCCTGTGAAAATATATTTTTTTCCTGTTGTAAATATTTTGAGTCATATTACTCAAATCCACAAAGTCACCTCTAATGCAATGCAAGCCCCAAGAACAGAGCATGCACCAGTGAAAGTCAGAAAAGGGAACAACTAGAAAATAACAGGATGTGGGCTTAATTCTGCACCCCCAGAAGAGCCTGTGCCCATGGGGTCTCTGTATTTCTCAAGCATTACATGTCAGATATTAAGTGTTAGCTAATATTTTTGTTAGCAAAAGCAGTCTTTAAACCATTTGAGTCCTGCCTTCAAGGTGAAACTGGAGCACTCATTCTTTCTTACCAGCAGCTGATCTGCAATTAAACCATCCCAGCTTGGGTTTGTTTTGTAAGTGCTGATTCACAGCAGAAATGTAAATCCTTAGATCCCTTTAACCCAAGATAAGGTGCAGTAGTTAATGCAAATGCTGCTTGGTGAATTTCTCCAAAAGGAAAACCCAACACAGCCTCTATTGAAAAGGATCCTCAGGACACTTACATGGGAATGGTTCTCTCAGGGCTCTGACTCTGGAAATTTGTAGAGGTTTGAACAGTGTTAACTTCAGGTCTGGCCACATTGACCCAAGCCTTTGTCAGTACTATAAATCATTGGTAAATTATCTGGCAAAAACATCTGGCCCCAACATCCCAGGGACAGCTTTGGGCAGAGCTGGTGTCTCCCACTACCCAAGGGCAGGGACAGCTCACCTTTCCAAGCTGGGATTAGCCATACCACCCCCTCTAGAGGGTCTGGGGGTCCCACCCTTGCCCCCCTGCAGACCACAGGCCTGCAGAGCCTTCCAGAGGGCAGAGCTGCACAGCAGCTCATCCATCCCCCTGGATTACTGCTCCTCTGCTCCCCCTTTCACTGCTGCCTGATGTGTGCATGCTCCTGGGCTGCACAGGGATTTCAGTGCCACCAGAACAGCCTGGTCTACCCTTTTCCCCTCATCGTATTTCCTAATCATATTTCCAGCTGCGGAACAGACCTATGTAAGAGCATCCACAAACCTGGTGAAATCAAACCTCTTCCCAATGTCACTGGCCAGTTGGTGCTGGGAAGACCCAGCTTTGCCTCTGAGAGTACAAGTCCTGTGAGCACATCCTTCAGCACAATGGTTCATAGCTGGAGAGCCAGCATCTTCCTCAGGATGGGAAGTCTGAGCTGTCAGTGAATCAGCTGGATCCCACCAGCATCACGTCCCGCCTGAAAGTGCTCGAGGCAGCTTTTTCCATCTGCTGAGTTGCTGTCTGAAAGCTGCAGTCATCTGGTCATGACCATGATAAAAGCATATCTCACATGAAATAACAACGGAGCAAGGCTTTTCTTTGGGGAAAGGAGCCTCATCCAATTTGAAAGGACCCAGTGAAAACCAAGAAAAAAAATTCTGATTAGATAAAAAGTGTTTTGCTTTCTGACACTTGCACTGGTTTTTTGGGGTTTTTCCCCCATAAATGATGGGGAAATGTCCAGCTGCCAGCTGCCTGTGGACACCTGTGCCCAGCTGAGCTGCTGCTGTCAGTCCAGGCAGAGCTGCAGCACCACATTTCAGGAGATGGGAGCGGGGAGACCCGTGAGCTCCGAGACCAGCCAGGATTGCCAAGATTTTCCCACCTGCAGGACACAGAGCCCCCAGCCATAGCCCAGACCCCGACTGCAGGAGCCCCTCCCTGCTGGGGTCTCTTGTGGCACTGTCCCACAGCCAGGCAGGGCTCCTCAGGCCACACCAGCCGAGGGTTTCCCAATGCAATGCAGCCTGTGGTGATGGGAGGTCCCTCACACACGGTGGAGGGGCTGTGTGCTCCTGCCCACACTGCCTGCCAGGGGATGTGGAGCTGGACAGCTGCAGCACTCCGTGCCTGCCCTATTTCTTCACGAGCATCCTACACACAGAACACTTCCAGGCTGCCTGGTCAGATGCAGCTGATCAAAGCTCACTCTCTAGAAACATATGCAGGAGGGTTTTTTCATTTCGCTCTTCCAGCTTCCCTTTTTTTTAAGAGCTAATAAGTATTTTGTCTTAACACATTACCTGGCTTCAAGGAAAATCCCAAAGTGTGACGGTAAGTTATAATTACTTTATATTATGATTTTATTTTGTGTCTGTGTGTATGTTTGAAACTCTCCATAGCTGTTCAGTTGTAGTGCAGAATATGGATTTATGCATACCATAATTTCTATATAAATTTGAAAGAGTTTACCAGCACCTCTTTATTTTTAAGTGGCACTGAAAATGTTCTTATGTTCTTGAAATAACTTTGGTTGCATCTGCTCAAAGTGCAGGGTGATGTTAAAATTGCAGATTTTCAGACAGTTATGTATGTATGTGTGTGTTTACACCATTGTTGCACCCATATGTGTCCCATCCCTTTCATGCCACATTCTGGCTGATCTGAAATTCTTCCGGTGATCATTCCTTAAGTACCTGCTGCCCACATTTTTGATTTTATGGGAAGATTTAAACAGTTTTTCATATAATGAACAGCCTTTAGGCTTGTCCTAATCCAGCACTGGCTTGCTGATAAGAGCTGTCAGCAGATACCATGGAAGGGCTGTCTGTCCCAGCCAAGCAGTTATTCTGGGCTAACTCTTCTCTTCTGGGGGAGGTGTCAAAGATCTGCCTCTGAAAAGAACAATCCATTCAGCATTTTTGGACTGTCTTTTATTTTTTTTTTAATAATTTCTTGTCAGTTTGTTCACTGTCAGGCCAATCTGTGCTTGTAGCATTTCACGAAGCAGCTTTCAACACCAGTAAGTTGCTGATGTGAGCAATAAAGGCTTGGGCTGCTGCTTGCATTGGTGATCCCTGGGATCAGGGACAGGGAAGGCACAGGAGAGCAGCCCAGCCCTGCTGCCCCCTCAGACTCCAGGAAAACCTCCTGTCCCCAAGGAAAAATCTGTTTTATATGCCCAGGATTGTAGCTCAGGGTTCTAGGACCAGTTTGTGAGGATGACCTGGACCTTGCCCTTTCTTCTGCATGTGCCTGCTCAGGCACTGACCCTGTGCCCATCCCTCTGGGGACTGCCACATCCTGCTCTTGGCAGGATTAGTCTCTGGCTGCAAGGTGCTCCAGGGCTCCCTGGCTGGCCACTTCTCCCAGCCATCCTCCCCAGGGTGCCTGGCTGTCCTGGCAGCCCTGTGGATGTCCTTTTTCAGCAGTGACTGTGGGGTGATGGCTGCTCCACCCTGGCAGACCCTGCCCTGCCCAGCAGCGCTCCAGCCCCACTGGAGACAAAGGCAGGAAGCAAAACTGAAGAGACTGGGAATAGCCAGTTCCCCTGGCAGCCCAGGGCAGGGCATTCAACTGTACAGAATATCTGTTTTTTTCACTTATTAGTCTCATTGCACAGTGTTTGCACCAGAACACCTCTGCCAACATCTCTGTAAACTCTCTGGTGCAAGGAGTTTAAAGGAGAAGGAAAGGGATATTTATTTTTCTTATCCCAAGGGCTTGGAGGCTTGTGGAGGACAAATCAGTTTTAAAAGACAAGGCAGAGAAGAAGAAACCAGGAGGTAATTCTCACTTTAAGATGGCCTCAACGGAGCATTGGCTCCCTTTGCTGCCTGTGCCAGAGCCACCAGAGGCAGCTGATCCCTGCCTGTCAGGGTCCCTGCTTTGCCATCATGTTGCCTTCCCCATCCACACTCCCAGGACCAGCCTGCAGAGTGCTGCCAGCCTTCTTTCCGTAGTTACTGGGACAGCATTTCACGTGAAATGTTTCTGCCTTAATAACTACTCTCAACCTGTTTTTTTGTATGTCTGTCTAATTCTGGAGCAACCTGAAAATGAGATTGGAAGTGCTTACCACTGGGGATAATTACTTTTACCACAAAAGTAATTACTTCTGGGGGCAAATGCTGCTGGGATCAAATGGGTACAAGGGAGGGCAGATGGCCGGTGGAGATGGTGGTTGCCTGGCAGCAGGATGTGCTGGAAGGAGGCTGGGCTGAGACCTGGGTGTTCATCACAGGAAAAAGGCTGAGCGTGGCCCTGGCAGGAGAGAGGTGTCAGCACCTCCAGGATTTAGCACTGAAGGAGATTGAACACCTGGCTGCCATCGGTCACCTCACTCTGGTGACAAAACTGCTCTCTTGGAAAGGAGCAGGCTCCTGGCACGGTGCCACACTCTGGTTTTCAGCAGCAGGATGGCAGCCAGCCTGGGAGCTCGCTCTGCCCACTGTAGCTGCACCTCAGACTGCTTCAGGAGTGCACCACCATTCAACACTTTTGCCTTTCCAGGTAAACTCAGTCTTGAGGCCAGGCTCAAAGCCATGTGGTGGGAAGATTTTAGTCTTTCCTAAGGCAGCCTTGGGCCAGGTGAGGGACCATTGTATTCAACTCCCCCCTCAGCAGGCTGGTGGATTTGGTGGGAGGAAGAAAATGGAGAGTGTTTTCTAGCTCTTAATGAACACCCACAAGGTCAGAGCCTGGTGCCCAGGAGGCTGTGGTTGGCTCCTGCCCAACCTGCAGGACAGGCAGGGGGAGATGGTGTGGGTGAGAAAGATCTATCTTTGGATGTCTTCAATTTCTGTGCTCCAGAGTGGCTCAGTCCATTGGATACGAGGTGTTATTTCTGCCTGCTCTTGCCTGAAGAGCAGAAAGTGGTCCTGGAGCAGCCTTGGGCTTTCCTGCGTGGGTTCAGCAGCTCCCCCTGACACTGAGCAGCTCAGATCCGAGTCTGCAGGTAGGGTGGAACAGGAGCAACAGGGAAATGGTCCCTTTCTCAGGACAGGATACACAGATCTTCCCTGTACACTCCATTTCCCCTGGCAGGACCCATTGCAGCCAGTGCTGATGGTGCTGGGACCAGCCAGGTCTGCCAAGAGCAGCCACATGGCAGAGCTCTGTCTGCAGGAATGGGAACAGTGGCTCTTTCCCCACCACTCCTTCTGGGAGCTGTGGCAGAGCATTCCTCTTCTGGAGATAATTTATACCTTCTTTTACATCTCCCTCTGGGCGTATCCATGGCCTGCTGCAGTTGTTGCTCTGCCAGCTTTGTGTCTTCAGTTCTTTCTGTAATGCCTTGCTGCATTTAATGGCAGAATTTGGGCCCTGGAATTCCAGGCTGTGCTCCTATTCCCCTTCCAGCATCTCCCCAGCCTGCCCTGCACACCCCCAGCTCCTGGAGCCCTTCTTTTCCTGCAGGCTGATGCCCAGGCACTGCTATGCACTTTGGTCAGTGCTGTCTAATTCCTCAGCCTGCTTTGTAATTCTTTTCTACTAAAGTTTTACGTGCTCTGCTGTTCCAGGGCAGAGTCACTGAGTTCTTTATTAAACCTGACACTGTGCCATGACAAGAACTACATTATTCTCATGGTCTCTGCTAAACCTAAGCCCAGCTGCATCAGAGGGAGAGGCAGAGCAAGTCCTTGTGTGGGCAAAGGGTACATGCAGGCTGCAGAAGAAATTGCCCCAGGAGCCAAAGATGACTAAGTGTAAAGACAGGAGCCAGCAGGTTGTGGATACTTGGGTCAAGGTGTGCTCCCAAGGCAGCAGACACAGCACATAGAAACCATTCCATCAGGAATTGCAGGAAACTGATGATGGATTTGTGTAAGGGGTGCCTCATAGGCAATGGAGAGGCTGCCACAGAGTCATCTGAAAGGCAGAGGGGGTGTGTGACATTTGACTTTGGGCTGGATGGGTCTTTCTGGAACTGAAAGCACTGATTACAGAAATCAAAGATTTCAGAGGCATCAGCTCCATGCCTCTGCCTTGTTGGCTCACGTGATCCAGGCACATTCAAACAGCTGCTGTCCCTTCACAAGATGTCATCTAAGTCAGGATAGTAGCCATCAGCAAAGAAATATGGAAAACTGAGCTCTCCACTCACCAGAAAAATAAATATTGACACTGGGCATTGCTAGAGAGTCTGGATTCCTTCCATCATTTCCTGAAATCCCATAACAGCCATAAGTGTTTAATTTATGAATGCAAAGAAGGGATTTCTTTTCTTGCAACATTCTGTCTTGCCAATGCCCTGTGCTCCTTTTGCTAGCACTTGTCCTTGTGGTGATGTCCCCTCTCCAGTGCAATCCATAACCCTGTGCTGGAGGCCACGGGTCTGCTCGGAATTACCGAGTCCTTCATGCCGGTGCCTCAGAAAGAGCTTGTTTAATGCAAGTTCTGTAAAAGAGACTGATTTCCCTGAAACATGAGGCAGTTAAGAGGATTTATAAATCATCCATTTTCCATGCCACTGGCAATTTCAAAACTATCCTTCTGGATCAAATGAAACACGCTATTTTATACCAAATGGTCTGTTCATAGCTGGAGCCTTTCAGTTCTTATTTTGGTGATTAGGAAGCTGCTTCTAAACACAGAGGTTGCAAAGTTGAAAGCTTTTATTTTTGTTGGAAGATATGGCATCCCAATATTTTAACCAAGGTTTACAATGCATTACTTGACAGAACCAATTGAGCACAAATGGCATGAATATATCAAATATATTTCAACCCAAAAGGATTTGGCCCATTTTTTATATTTAGCTCCATTAATGATCTTTGCCAACTGCTTTGCCATTTTGCAGTGAAGTATTTCAGCAATGATGCTGCTGTTCCTTTATTTCCTCAGAAGCAGATTTTTACAGAAGGGCTTTTTAATTTCTGCATGCAGCTGCATATCTGTCATAGTCCAGGAACCCAGCTCAGGGGATTCTCATCTCTTTAAAATCTCTTATTCAGCATGGTGGTCCCTTTACACGCTTGCATTCCCTCAGCTTTAGTGCTTTCATTGATCTTGCCCCCACAGAGCCGCTGTGGGGCTCGGGGAGCTGACCAGGCTGTGGGAGGAGGAGGAAATATTCCTGAGCACACAGTGACTCCAGGACTCAGTCACCCAGCTGACAAATCCTAAAAAATCTCATTCATGAGCAAACCCCATGAGTCAACTTCCAAATGCTGTTGCAGCAGGGAAGGCAGACAATGAAAGGGGAACAATCCTGTGGCTTTTCTCGCTGCTGGGCTCAGGGGAGCTTTGCTGCTGACGCCAGGGGCCTCCAAGGAGGGGTGGGCACAGGGACACAGGAGGGGCTGAGCCCAGCCAGCAGTGATGCAACTGGGCTTGACTCACTGCACAGAGCTTTGGCAGGGCTTGCTGGTGAGACAGAGCTGGTCTGGTTTTATTTATGTCTTCTGCCATGAGCTTGTCGTCACCTTATGATGGATTTTTTTTTTTTTTTGCAACTTAATCCCATTTACAGAACAGTTAATAATATGCAAATCACCTGTCTGTCCCTGCCATGACCTCGGGGCCCTGAGGCTCTGTTCCAGCACACATGGCAGGGATTGTCCCTGCCTGTCCCACAGCTTGCTGGGACCCTGCTCACAGCCACAGTCAGTGAGGCTGGTACCAGCCAAGCTCTGAGCCTGTGCAGAGCTCTGCTCTGGGCCTCTGATGTCTCTGCCACCCATGGGCAGTTCCTCCCCTCAGCTTTGCTGGAATGGGCATGGATCCTCTCCAGTGTGCCCTCAGCTGGAGGATGCACCAGCACTGGCAGGGGCAGGAACAGAGCAGGGAGAGCAGGTGCCAGCACAGTGACACAAGGAGAGGAAGGGAAAAGCACCTGTAGTTCCTAGGGAGGACATGGCCAGAGCAGCTGGACCAGGGCATTGCTCAGCACAGAGCTGCACTCTCTGCTCCTTCCCGGGTGCTCCAGTGCAGGATGTGTGCAGGATGTGCATTGTTGCAAATCCCAGCTATGCATATTTTCCAACCTAATTTTCTCAAGAATTGACCCAGTTCTAGCATTTGGAAGCTGGCATTCTTCACTGTACTGGCAAATGTTTCTTATTTGTTTCAAACAATGTGTCCAGTGTGACCTTTTCTGCTTAAATAGCTTACACAACGGGAATACATGAATGCTAAATTCTAATCTTGCGTAACTCTGAAAGTAGGGCCATACATACCAGCAGTAAGGGACTTTTTTCCCCATCCTTTGCAGGAAGTAAGAAGGAAAAGCCAGCAGTGTGTAATTTCAGTGAAGGGACAGCTCACCCATGATCCCCTTACCCCCAGAATTCACAGGGCTCTCAAGGTGACAGTGTTAGCACCACACATTTCCGCATGTCTACCCACGCGCACATGGAGAAATGGAGAAGTCACCTGGCAGCTGGGAAGGGGCCTGATCCTGCCTTTGCTGCTCCAAAGCATTCCCACTGGCAGCAACTGAGAAGTGGTAACACATTCCTTCAGGCCTTAAATCATAGAGTGACACCCTAAGTCTTGTACAGGCGCTTGGAGGACACTTTTCTTCCTGACAGTTCCTGGTGCCATTTCTCATGCCCTCTGTATGCCTGAACTCTTTCTCAATATGCCTAAATTTGGCCATGGGAAGAGTCAGCCTGAGCCACAGCCCGATGCTTGTCAGGGAATGAACAGCACATCCCTGCTCTTCCCAAAACATCCCCTTGTCCCTCCTGGAGGGGCTCACTGCAGCCAGGTTCCTTCAGCTCACATGAGGCATCACGGCCATCAATGACTCCTGCAGGACTGGCCATGACCTCGGATGATCCTCAGCGGATCAGCAGGAGCCATCAGATGCTTTTTCAGCAAGGTGTATTTGGTGACAGATTTCTTACCTGGGGTAAACCAGGTGTGGTAGAAGCACTGGCCCCTTGCAGAGTTCTCCAGGCTGGGGCAAGGGGGTCCTTGCAGGAAAGGAGGGATGAAGTGAAAGGTGAAGAGCAAGGCTGTACAGAGCTCGTGGCTGAATGCCTGGCCACAGCAGAGGGGTGAGGAGAGGAACAATTCACTGGATTTCCTGCAGAGCCCCATGAGCCAGGACAGGCTGGACTTGTCCCAGAGGCAGCAGCTTTGGGGGAGGCTCTGCAGCGGCTCACACTGGGGGTGTGACACACACTGGGACACCCCCTGGAGCCACGTGGGCCGAGACCCTGCGTGGGGCTGCAGGGAGCAGTGGGGATGGGGCTGCCAGCAGCTGGGGACAGCTGAGCATCACCACCTCCAGCAGACATCCTGCACTGATTTTGCCATTTAGTTTTAATCTTAATGAATCACTTCAATATTTCAAACACGCCTTTGACTCACTTGAGCACATAAACAGCAACAATTAACACCAGCACCTCATAAATCCCAGCAATGTTCCCTCTGGTGCTTAGTAAAGCCTCTGACTGTGTGGCCAATGCAATGCAACATCTGATCCCTGGGGAGAACAGAGAGGAGTCTTCAAAAACACCACAAGATTTCTGTGAAATGCAAAGCTTTGAGCCATGAAGCTGCTGCCCCACACTCCAGGGATAGATGGGCTCCCACGCACTTAGAGCTCCAGGTAAGAGCACTTTGATGGTTTTAAACCTCTCTATGGAAGCATTTGTTTATTTTTACTTGCCTTGTGAAATCATATGACTATATTCAAATAACTATACTGGAAATGAAAAGAAGCTTTCTGTGCTAACATGCACGCGCAGTCCTTGGATGCTGCTGCTCACCAGCTCTGAGTTAGAGCTGCTGCTTCTCCCAGCTCTGTAAAGCAGCTCTCCTTGTCACTGCATCCTCAGAACTTTCTGAAACAGACTCACTGCCTACAGCCAGGTTTGTACTGACACTAGTTTTATCCTATGTTTGATAAGTTAAAGAAGTAATTCCCATTATTTCTTCTGCCTACACATTCTCGCTTCACAATTAAACAGAAAGATTACTGCTAGTGCTGTAATAATAATACTTATATAATAACTATACTTATGTGATGGATTTATGTGATGTAATAGTTACAATTATGGGATGGGCTGGGGGGGATTTGTTATTAATTTAAATTGAAAATTTGCTGTTAAAATCGTTGTGTATTTTTAGTTGCTGCTATGTGTGGCCAGCTCGAATTTCTGGTTTATTTTAAACACATACAGATACCCTGGCCAGCACCACCTGCCTCCTTCTCTGGCTCCCCTGAGCCACTTCTTTCAGTGATGGAGGGTTTTTGTTGGCTCCAGTCCTCAGATTCCTAAAGAACCCTCTGACTTGAAGTTCTGTCACTTAGCAGAGCCCCAGTTTCACATTGCTGCATGGCAGCTGTGGATGCTGATGAGGAAGCAGTTGTGCCAGAGTCTGACCTGGGATTTCACCTGCTTGAGCCAGGCTTGTGTGGGTTGAGTGTGGGTTAAGTGTGTGGGTATAAAGTGAGTTCATTTTCTGAATAGATTTCAGTGATAAATTGCATGCTCACATTGAGGTTGCCAAGTTCTTACTCAAGTGGAGCTCAAGCAGTGGCCTCAAGGTTTCAGGAAAATTAATGTCTATATCTATACCTACTTATATACCTAGATCTGTATATATATCTAATCTATATCTCTGTCTTCATCCTCCATCTCTATCTAATCTATACCCACACCTGTATCTATATGAAGAAAATTAAAACCCTGTCAGAATCCACGTGCTTTCTGGCATAGGGAAGCATGGGCTGTCTGTAGGCAGTAATTTGTACCCACCTTTAGCATGAAATCTGAAGGAAGGAGCAGCACCCTCCCTGGAAACTGCTCCTCTCCCTCTCAGTCCCCATCTTCCCTCCAGCAGATTTGCACAAGAATAGAAATTTGTCCCCTTCAAATATTGCCATGACAACTAAGAAGGATTCTCACAAGCATTCCTGCCATTCCTACCAAGGCCTGAAACATCAAAGGCAAAAGGTGGGGATAGTTGTATAAGATGTGTCTCTTTATTGGATAAGGCTCAGGCATTCTGTTTTCATTCTTTTTAAATGAAAAATATCATTGGTCCAAGGCACTTCCTGTGGCAGGGGTTGAATCACTTCCACAGAAGACGTGAGACAGTGGGCTGGTGATTGAAGTACTGACACACTTCTGGAGAGTGTACTCAGCTGGCCAGAAACCATTTCAAATGAAATTGTGCTTGGCCATCACCAAAAGTCTGAAAGAGAAGTCCTCTGGGAAATGATTAATCAGCCCTGGTAAACAAGGAAAGCCAGGCTTATTGTCAGTGCTGAGCCTGCCGAGGGAATAGCAGGGCCGCAGGGCAGTGCTGCAGCTTTGGACTCTGCTGTGTCTCCACAGCCCCTCGCACCCGTGCCACAGGACCGCTCTCCTGACCAGCCCTGACCTCATGGCTCCCTGGAGGCTTCCCGTGCTCCCCATGGCTCTGCTGTGGGGCTGCCTGCTGGCCTCCTGCTCCCCCAGCACAGGTAAAGCCCAGCGTGCTCTCGTGTCGCTGCTTCGTGTTCACTTGGGCCCTTTGGGGGTTTGTCCTTCAGCCAGAGCTTTTCTTCTCTGTGTGTGCATTGCTGTGTGAGTGGCTGGTTTGTAAACCTGCAAACCATTGTCTAAAGATGTGATGTGTTTAGTGGCTGTTTTTCTGAGTGAATTTGAAAGGAGAGGAGACTGCCTTTGGTGCACAGCAAATATATTTGTTTGATAGAGAGTTATCAAATATAAACACTGCTCATAAATGCTTCTGAGCATGGTCCCAGACAGACAGACTGTGCTAGGGGTAAGAAACACAAGGCTCATTTGTATCTGGAGAGTAATGCTTCTAAGAGAATACTGCTCTGCAAGCTATCATTCATGGCAGTGGCACTTCAAGCACCCTTTGCTTCAAGCCCTCGAGCACCTCTTTGCTGCACTGCACCTGCTGGCTCCTCTGGCACCTGGCACTTTGCACCCAGAGAGATGGTGAGCAGCTCTGGCCCGCCCTGATGGAAGCAGTGCATGGTGCAGAGGTGAAAACCTGCCCAGGGTTCTCCCCTGAGGTGAGACTGCCTGTCCTGCCAGCCAGCAGGCACAGAAAGCTGCTGGCAAAGCCCCTGCTGGTGCTGCTGCCTTTGAAATGGGCTCCGAAGAACAAAAGTGCCACCTCCACCCCTCTGAGCAGCACAGGGAAGTGCAGACATAGAGGGGGGACATAAGGGGGGACACCTGGCTGGCTGCTGGTTTTCCACTGGCAAGGTAAGTGGAAAGTTGCAAAGCCTACCTGCTGCAGAGGGCATGGGGTGGACAGAGGGGGTGGTGGCAGCTGGGGACAAGCAGGGTTTGTCACCAAACCGGTGATGGTGGTGGCAGCATGCCTGGGAGCCAGGAGGGGTGGCTGTGAGGGCTGTGGCTGTCTCACAGCCAGCTCAGCATTACCTGACTCACTACCACAAACATCAGGGGGAGAAGCTGTTAGTTTGGCTTTTTCCAAGAAACATCCAGGAGCAGCTTCCTTCAAGGCTGCATGATGAAATAAAGTGAAATTTCTAGTCCTGTATGTTCTGTTTCTAGTTCTGTGTGAGTGATGTGAGTGAGACTGGGAATGTATTATTGTGAAAATTAGAAACTGCAAGAGGCAGTGCTGGCATTTCAAAAACAATCAAATCCCAGAATGCAAGCAACATCCCGAAGAGAAGCTTTTCTCTTCCCTCTGAAATCCAGTCAAAATTTATTTTGCAAGAATTGCTGTTTACAATTACAACTGTTTTAAAAAATATTGCTGTTTTGCTCAAGCTCACGATGTAAATAAATTTCAGAGCATTCTCCTATCCAGTCAGAAATTCCAGTTCTGACCAATGTAATCCTCTCTTGACAGCTTATCATGACAAAGGCTAGCAACTTTCTCTTCCTTGTTTGCACTTCTGTGAGGCTCAGCATTTATACACTGAGGAGGAGCCTCCCACGCACTTGGTTCAGTATCCTCCTAAATACATGTCCTAGTTCACCATCTACTGTAGTAAAAAATCTCCCATGGAGCTTCATGTATTGGCAAAAGTGGGATTTTCAAACTGATGCCTGGAGTGTGTTTTATTTGGAAAAATTTCTGTAGAAGAAACAAATCCTCCAGCAATGTACCCTGCAAACTTTCCAGGGAGCACGTTAAATCTGGATTTATGTCACCATCTTCCACTGAAAAATATCCTATGGTTTGCTTTCACAATGGATTTATTAAAAGAATAAAAGAAAAAAATGGTGTAAATCCTGATGAAGACATGAAAAAGGTGTTAGAGAAGCCAGTAATCTGCAGGCCAGATTCAAAGGGAGAATGGTGGTAATTCTGGACTGACACTGCCAGGACATGGGCTCCAAATTCCTGTAAAATAAGTGTATTATGCAATGAATATGTAGAAACCAAATGGATAATCTCACCTCTAGACAGTGTAAAAAAATTACCTTAGATGTTGGCAAAACCTGGCTTTGTTTCAGCTAATAAAGCTGAGCAGCCAAACAGTTTTTTCATGTGAATGACAAATCCATATAGAGCTGGACCTTTAGGACATGTCTTAGTATGGAATTCATCCATACGTTCTTATTTATTGACATATATCAGCACCTTAAAATACCTTTATAAAAGCCAGATCAACTGTAAAGGCACATTTTTGTATAGCTGATAGATGTCCAAAATAAGAATTATTCTGATTCTCTGCTTTTTGCCTTTTTGTTTTGCCCTTTTTGTTTTGTTTTGTTTTTTTTCTAAATACCTTTAACATGAAAGGAATATTTAAAGCAATATTTGTGATGTGTGTCTGTTAGGGTAAAGGAATACAAATCCTCCTGACAGCTTTGATCTGTCATCCTGTGTTGGTGTTTGTGCTGAACACAATGTTTGCAGAGGTAAGTGTCCTGAAAGTTGGTAAATATCAGGGGTTGAAGGTAAGCAAACAAAGGACATGAAAGGTCATTCCAAGACAGCAATTTTGCTTAAAACGTCTTGGAAAGGAGTGTCAAAAAGTGGCATTCTGTGTGCCTTTTCAATGATCCTTGAGTGCTTTCTCTGAGCACCAGCAAAAGCTGTTTTTGGGGGTGGGCAGGAGCAGAGCTGGTGTATGTTTGTTGAGGAGAGGGCATTAAAGCATGAAACACTTCACATCCAGCAGCTGCATTTCAACAAATCATATCAACAATTTCATCACTGCTTTGGTTTGTTTCCTTCACTTTGACACTGTTTTACCCTCTGCTTTGTTTTTTAAAGTGGTTGCTCCCCCACGAGACCTTCGGATCACTGACCCCGGACTCCTGGGCTCTCTTGATGTCGAGTGGAAGCCTCCGCCCCACGAGCAAACCTTCAACGAATGCACAGTAAAATACAAGTTTGAATATCACAACACTGGAGACAGAGACTGGAAGGTAGGGCAAAGCATGTATTAATCCTCCCAAACCAGAGCTACTGTTCTGCCTTTACTTCCTGCACACATTTATGTTTGCAGTTCAATGAGGAGTGGAACCAAAGACATTCCAGTTTTCCATTAAAAACCAGACTGTTTCAGTGGTTTGAACTGGAATGTGTTCTGAAATGTAATAGCAGCAGCAGCCAGGGAAGGGGTTCTTTCTGTCACAGGGCTTTTGCTTTTGGGTGTTTGCTGCCCAAAATAATTCAAATAACATTCCTCATTGTAATAGAAAAAAAAATTACATTTTTCTAAAGCATCTTTACGGGGCTTGAACTGAAACAACAGATCCTTAGGGATGCAGAGTGGTGAACAAATAAAAGTTAAATTTCATTAATTATCCTAACTCTCTATCCAGAATTGTGTTCCTGATTACCATTTGCTTCTCTCTTTTAGATATGGTTGACTCTGACTTGGGTCTTTGATAAAATTGTCAGTCATCTCTCACTGATGTGTAGCAGGGCAGTAGCAGGCACAGCACAGGAAGGGTTGTTGGAATGTATTCTGTGAGTGCTTAGAAGATGAAAGCTGCTGCAGGGTTTAGGAAGGTAAATGGAGTAGGGAGAGGAGAAACCCAGCAGTGGGGGCTGTTTGGTTGGCACAAAGTACTGAGGAACATATGAAAAATATGCTGAGGATGTCCCTCAACAACCAAAAATACAGATTGAAATCCTGAAAGAAAAAGGGATTTTTTTGCACATTCCTAAGGCAGGAGAGCTAGAGGGCTTGCCAGCTTAAGAGAGCAGGAAGAGAGAGGAGCAATCAGTCAGGCTGGCAGTGCTGGGCAGCCCAGCTCACCTGCTGCACCTACCTGAGGCAGCAAAGCTGGGGCTGCCAGGCTGTGCTCAGCCCCCACAGAAATGAGGTTCAGCCCAGCCATCCCATAGGAGCCTGCAGAGGGGGAAAATCCAGTTTCAGCTACAGATTGTGATTGCAAGGGCAAAGGGAGCATCTTGGACCTGATGTTGGTCATGACATGATCTCAGTTGTGCAAATTCCTCCAGGATGATTTTAACTGCAATTTCAAAGAAAAACATAAGCAGTTTTAAAAACCACACCAGAATTCCTGAAATCACGAGTAACAAAAGTTTTTCATATGAGGCAGATGTACAGGCTAGAGCAAAATCACCTCTGACACCTTGCCAAAATCCTGACCTCGGTTAAGGTCATGAAGAACAGTCGGGCTGAGGAAAATCCTTTGGACATCAGCAGAAGCAAACATCATTGATATCTGTTAGAAATAGCTGGCTCAGCACAGCTCTGTCACCTGGGGAGTGCTGAGGCCAGCCTGACTGTGGGCTGTGCCATTGCTGCTCCCACTGCACCACATGGATGCATTTTATGGCACAGATGCATTTTATGGCACATTACCTCTGTCCTACATGGGCTAACACAACACTTTGTCTCATCATTTGTTGTAAACCTTGTCAACTTAATTTTCCTTGCATAAAGTGAAGGGGAGTAAGTCTGAGGAAAAAAAAAATAGAAAAACCTTTGAAAGGGGTGCTCAGAAAGTCCCCCCAAAGGCCAAGGTGGGTGGTACACAGTGGTGGGTGAGCCCATGCTGCAGTGCCTGGCTGCTGGTCCACCCTTTCAGGGGGTGCTTGTGCTTCCCACAGCAACCATACAAGACTCATTGTTCTGTTTCTGATCATTTAAAAAAATGCCTTTTATGTGGATTTGTGGTGGAATCCTCCTCAGGTCATCCTCAGTGTTCCTTGCTGCTGGGGGTCCCATTAATCAGCCTGCTGTGCCTCGTCCTTGCTGTGTCCTGTGGGGTGAAGGGACTCACAGCCAGCAGGGCTGGGCACAGCAGGTGTAAATTAATGCTGGAGGAGCACTGGGCAATTGAGGCAGGACAGAAATATAAAGAGAGCACACCAACGAGGCTTTGCAGCTGGAGTGAGAGCAAAGGTACCTAATTCTGCAGCCCACTTAGTGACAGAAGAGGTGCTTAAAAAGTCTGTCTTTCAACCAGGTTATTTTTACTAGGAAGCTAAAATTCAGAGTTGGATTTGACCTCAGCAGGACTGCTGAAGTGAGGGTGCAGACACTGCTCAAAGGAGGGTGTACAGATGATGTGGAGGTGCAGAGTGACTGGATCTATGCAACCTTTCAGATCCCACCACAAGGTCAGGAGCAGTCTGGGGTACCTGGTGCAGTTTTGTGCTTTGCATGAGCCTGTTGCATGAACCAGTGCTGGCTTGGGGGTTCCTGGTTGGATAAGTTATTGCAGGGCTTGCTGATGTTTAAGACACTGGAGCAGCTCTGCCATCAAAGGCTGTGGTTGGGGTTGCTGGATAACTGGGGCTTGTGTCCCTCTGCCCATGTCCAAGCTCTGCTCAGCTGCCCTGCAAGAGCTCCACTGCTGAATGAAAAGGTCAGTTAAGCATCCTTCTGCTCTAGGATGGACTGGCTTTTATGAGAAAAAGAGCACTTGGCAGTAAAACTAATAATGCTGACTGGCTGCCTTTTCCTTTCTTTTTCCTTTCTTTTTCCTTCCTTTTCATTTTCTATCTTTCAACTGCAGCACATGGTTATTCAGAGGCATAAATCTGTATTTTTGCTGCATCTTACCGGAGCACTGTTAAATAGTGGTTATTTCCTTCTCATTTGACAGGAAAACTTGAATCAGAGGTCCAGAATTTCCACTGCATCTATCATGACTGGGAATACCTGAAGTGCACCTGGGAGCCAGGTCTCCTCACACCTCACGGTGTACATTATGGGCTGTATTATTGGTATGTAACAGCAAAATAGGAAAACATCCAGGCAGCAATCAAGTGAACCACTCAGAGTACAAAAATGCCACAGTAAATATGCTTTTATAGCTGGCAGTGCTATTGTCCAATTCACCCAGAATGAGCCAAAATAATATCCCTAGCAATATCCATGGCTTCTAACAAGAAAACACCTAAGCCTTTCTTACTTTCTTAAAATCAGGCCCATGCTGATCTTTGCCAGGAAATATCTTCTCACTTCCTCCCTTCTCTTTATTCATCCCCAGATGATGTTCTCTGCATGTTGTCCACCATAAAGACTTGGGTTTGTTTTTATTTTTTTTCTGAACACACCTGGATAGTTCTGGCTGCACATTTCCTATGATCACAGTGCATATATCTCAACTGGACAGGATTTAGCATGAGGCTACCAAGCTCAGTGAACCCTTGACACAGAATGGAGCTTCTCAGCAATTCAGAGTTTTACTGTTCAAATACATTTTCATAGCCTCAGCACATCTCATACAAGCGAACATTCTGCCACAAGGTAATAATAATACATATTTTTCACCTGTTTCTTTTAAACTGGTGCCTAAATTTGGTTCTGCAGGATAAACATAGCTAGAATTAGTGGTTTGGGACAAATTAAATACCATATTTGTGCTTCAGCTCCCATGATGTTATGGAAAGGATGACTTAGACTGGGTTTTGTGCCACTGGGCTGTGTGGAGAAAAGCATAGACACATTTTAAAGAGGTTCCATGTAGTTCTTGGAAATAGTCTTCAAAGAGAAACAGCAGCTCAAAACCATTTTGCTAAGTGCAAAGATCTGCTTGAAGGAAACCATGGAAATGCATGATTCATGCCAAAATAGAAAACACACACAAAAAAAAATCCAACCTTGATTTAATTGCCAGGCATTTGGATCTGGGTCCCATTTTATCACAAGATTGGGTGGACACCACAGCATCCTTTGATCCCTGTGAGCAAATTTTTATAGTACTAGAACATGAAGTTTTTCCCCCAAACATAATGTGCTATGCAGGGAGACTTTTATTATGTCTGGAGCACAGGGGCCAAATTCAGCCCTGCCTTGAGGGCACAAAGCAGCAGGAGCCTTAAAAGGTAGTATGAAACACCAGTCAGTATTTCCAGGGTACAGCCAGCAGCTCAGCTTTGGGGAGTGGCCCCCAAAGGCAGAAGGGACAGGGTTGTGGTTGCACATTAAGAGCAAACAGCAAACCCTTTCCTAGCTCTCATCCTGGGTTTCCATGTGCCCATGGAGAGCCATGGGAACTACCTGCAGTCAGCCAGAGCAGCTCAGCAGCACTCAGTACATCCATGGCACATGTCATCTGCCTAAAAACTGCCTAAAAACACTTTGTTTTGACTTGGGAGGTGACCTTTCTGCAACTCCAGTCTCCATGGCTGATGGTGCAGGAGGGGCCCTGGGGAGCAGGACTGTCCTCATGAGTAGAGACCAGACCTTTCCCCAGCTCCAGTCACACAGTGGCACCTCTTGTGCTCCAGGAATGGGCTTGGGGAGAGCCTGGAACGACCTTAAAACCAACCTGAGAAGCTGTCTGTACATGTTAATTGGGTTTTTTTATCTTTTCCACACGTTTGCCATAGCAGGAGTCCAGGTGACTGATCCACAGCACTGTACTTCGGACAAAGGCTGGGATATAGGCAATACTTGAGCCTATTTGGACTTCAGTCCAATCTTACAAAAGAAGTCCTACTAAGTAGTGATTTGCTTTGGTTACTTCTTCTGTTTCCCTTCCCACTGCTAGGTACGAGGGGCTGGACCAGGCGGTGCAGTGCGATCACTACCTCCAGGAGCACGGCATAAACGTCGGCTGCGTGCTGCAAAACCTCAGCCAGGCAGAATACCAGGATCTGAACGTTTGTGTCAATGGGTCAGCAGCAGCCACCCTGCTACGGCCACTCTACACCACCCTTCGCCTTCACAACCTCGGTAATGATGGCAGGGAAGCGACAGGGGACCCTGGTGGCCACCACACGCCCCAGGCCCATGTCCTGCATTGGGGTCTCAATGAAATGCCTTTCCCCTGGGGAGGGGCTGTGGTATGTGCCAAGCAGGACTTCAGTTTCCAGCAGTGTTTGCAGGCAAGCAACAGCACCCAGCACAACCCTGGAGGGTCAGGGGGTGCTGCTGGACAACCCGGGACATAAATGGCCTGCTGGGCATGTGGCAGAGCAGCTATGGGTTTTTTGGCTCTAGCAGCACAGACACAGAGATATCTTCATTTACTCCTGCTGGAATTGAAACTGCTGCACTCCTTGCAAACACAGGAGAGATCTCTGGGCTTTGCTGTTCAAACCAAGCTAAGGTCTGGGGTGAGCTGAGTGCGAGGTGTGATGGAGGTCTGTCAGAGCAGAGATGGAATTCAAGCCCATGAAAGACAGGGAAAGGGAGCAAAAAGCATGGCATGATGTGCAAATATTACATGCACTCGGTGTTTATTATGGGCACTCACCGTGCTGGTGCATTTGCCTACGAGCCAGGACAAATAGCCACTTGTCCAGCTAAGCCACTGGGCTAATGAGCAGGATTTCTGAATTCAGTTAGAGCTGCCACGTGCTTCCTGTACGGCTCTGAGCATCGGACATGAAGCTCTGCGGGCTGCAGGAGTGTGGGCCAGCAGAGCTGGGGGTGTCACCGCAGGGACCGAGGCTGTCACAGCACGGCGAGCCCTGGGGGCACAGCGCTCGCCCCACCGAGCTTCCAAACCCCAACCCAGGGCAAGGACCCGCCCGGGTGTCAGGGTAAAATGAACATCCCACCCTGCGGACTCGCTGACATCTCGCTCCTCCATCGCGGCTGGACGCCAGGCTCAGGGGAAAAGGGACGGGGGCTGGCCGAGACCGGCTGAAGCCTTTCCACCAGGAGCTGTCCGAGCGAACCTCTTGAGCTTCTCTCTTTGTTCTCCCCTCGCAGCAAAGCCCTCAGCCCCGGAGCAGCTGGTGGTGTCCGTGTCTGCAGCCGAGGAGCTCCTGGTGGCCTGGAGCCCCCCGGGCGGGCGAATGCCACCGCACTGCCTGGAGTACGAGGTGCAGGTGGCAGAAGATGCGGGGGAAGCCGCGGCCGCCTGGGCGGTAGGGACAGCACCCGGGGAGGGTCGGGGAAGGGTCGGGGAAGGGCCGGGGAAGGGTCGGGAGCCCTGCCCGGGGGCACAGGCTGCAGCACGGCTGAGATCCCCGGGCACGGGCCCCGGCGCTGGACAGCGCGGAGCGGCTGCGGCTCCGCACGAGTTCCTCCTTAACCCCCTGACCTCCAGCCGCAGCTGTGCTCTGGCAGGAACAGAGCCCGGCAGGAGCCTCCAAGAGAGCATTTCTTCGGATCTCCTGCCTGTTATCGCAGAAAACTGCCATCGAGGAAATATAAGGGTTGCTGTGGTTTGTTTCCCTGAACAGGGTGGCATAACTTGGACCAATGGAACTATATTTCTAATCTTTCAGAAGGAGTGGCATGGGTCAAAACATATCTTTTATGTGTGGTGTTTTTTCCTAGTATATTATCCAGGTACAGTTTGGAGGCAAAAACAAAAAGGACTAATTAATCATAGGGGACATCTCTTTTTTAATTGCCATGTTCCACTCATGAGTTTTCTTAGGTAATTAAAAGATTCCAGAAATTAACAGGCATAAACTGCAACATACATGATGACACCTCCAGAAGGTATTTTCAGTAGATTTGTCTTCATAGACATGTTATTTGCATTAGCTTGTACAAAACTATTGTGAAATAATTTAAAACTGCCAAAAGATAATCCAAAGGTTTACAGAGCCTGGACAGTGTGCAGCAACATCAGGCTACACCAAACAGATCCTGTTGGTGGCACGTAATTCCTTGATATTTCTTCTTTCTGTTTTGTTTCTCAGTTTGTGTCGACTCAAATGGAAACTGCTTTAACAATTTCCAGAGCAAATCAAAGCCACGTTTCATGTGTTCGTGTCAGGGGCAGAACAAACATTTTTTGTGCTGACCAAGGCTTTTGGAGTGAATGGACGCAGGATTGTTTCTCTGGTATGGAACCCAAAGAAAATGGTGTTTCTTTAATAACCTTTCTAAAACCTGTTTGGGTGCAAGTGCTGATGGCTGCCCTGGGGATCTACTGGTGTCCAGCACTGGAGATGAGGTGCTGGCTTCTTTCACCTTCAACCTGCTCCAGCACAGCTGTTCCTACAGCTTTGCATCTCCAGTGCACTTAGCAGGTGAGCCCCAAAATATTCCTGCTTCTGCAGCAGCACCTTTCCCTGCTGCACGGGGACAGCTGGCACAGAGCAGTGACTGCTGGGCAAGAGAGGGCACGGGGTACTTGCAGTGTCTCCACAGGGCATCCTCCTGGCTCTCCTGCACCACAGATGAGCTCCTTTGAGCCCTGCAGGCTCTCTTGGGCTGTCCTGGTGTGCACTGGCTCTGCTGCAAGGTGCAGAAGGCAGGGGAGAGGCACATAGCAGTGAGAGAGGCACATGCCTCTATGTGCTGGAGATGTAATACCCTGCAGGATGATGTGACCCCACCCAGTAACATATACCTGTAACAAATAAACAAATAAAAACATGTAGGGTAATGTGGACAAGGTGAGTTTGCATCCGAGCCCAAGCTTTGTAGGCGGTAATTTAATCTGTTCTAACATATTCTTGTTTCCTGCCATTTATCTTCGCAGTGTCCACAAAAGAGGACAAGAAGCTATTTATCCTCATTCCAGTCATCCTGACTTTGTCAGTTAGCCTCATAATATTTATGTTGATTGGCCAGTACAAGAAAAGGTAAGCACCAAGGTAGCCTGTCCAAGCAATGTGCTTTTTTGTTGATGTCTGTAACTATTTATAACTACAGTTGTAACTGAAACATCGCATTAGATGTTCAAGGGCCAAATATTAATAGGTGCTTTAAGATTGGACACCAAACAATAGTTCATTTTCAGTAAACAACCTTCCTGAGTGTGTCTGTTTCTGATATGAAATACCCCTACAGCAACCCATGAACTCACTGCAGAGACTCAAACACTGCTCATAAGAGCTCAGACTGCTTCTGTTAAATGCAGAAGTTACTTGCATGCACAGCAGCATAAATAAAGCTATTACCATGCCCCAAACCACTTAAGAGCAGAGATTTGTCCTAGCTGTGTTAAAGCAGCGCCATTTTAATGGGATAAATCCTCATTCCTTTGGCACTCACATCCCAGCTGTTTACATTCATGCCAGTGATGGCACGAGGGGAAAGCAGATGAGTGGATGAATTTTTTTACTGATAATTTCTTCAGGTGTGAGGGGTCACTTGGAGAGAACTGATCCCCCACAACTGACACCCGCTTTCTTTTCCTGATGGCTACGTAGCATAAGCAAGCAGGAAGCTTTTCTAACCTGCTTTTTAAGGCATCACTCATAAGGGAGAACTGTCTCTAGAAATACCCTGGTGTGGTCCCCAGAGACGAGCTGACACCTGTTTGGCAGTCGAATGCATGGAGTCCCAAACACAAACTCCTTCATCTTTGCTTTTCACCCACCTTCCAAATGTTTTGGTTTGTGAAATTTGAACAAAACACAGATGCTAGTAGAGAAATCTGTGGAAAGCAAATGCTTCCTGCATTGCTACTGGGATGTGGCAATGTCTGACAGGGATGCTGGAGCATGTCCTCAGCCCTCTCGGCGCTGGGAGTAACAGTCTGTGTCCCTTTCAGATCCCCAGCAGGAAAGCCATTGCATGCATCTGTGGGATGCTAACTCTGCCTGTGCCTGCTGCACTGCTTGTGTTCGGTGGCTGCTCATGGAACACCATCCCAAACACAGCCAAGGAGCCCTGAGCTTACTGCAGCCCAGATGGGCCTTCCCTGCCTGCTGCCACTTGTGAAGGCAGGTGTTGCAATCCCAGTCCTTAACGGGCTTAGGAAAACTGGAGGGGCTTAAACTGACTGCAGGAAAACCAGAAGAGATCGAAACTGACTCTGAAGCAAGGTGTTTCTGGTAACAGGACAAGGGAGAAAAAAGAGGCAGTGAAAACTTTCTTGAATAAAGATAACCACGTTGTTCTGTGGGCTTGTTTGGGTTTTTTCTTTTGTAAGGACTCCAGAAATCTGTCAGCAGGACACACACAGTGAAGGGCAGCACCTCACACACAATGTGTGTGCATGCAAACACTTCTATCCAGCCCCTGTGCCCCACCTTACTCTCACCAAGTCTCCCCTGTTCCCAAATGCTCAGCCTGCTGAGAGCATCTAAATGCTGAACAGGAGCTACCTGAGCTATTTATTTCATCAGCTGATATGTCTTATCTGTTGAAAAGCTCAGGTGGAGAGGCCTTGAGAGAAACTTTTGCTATAAAGGGGCCTGACCACAGCTACTGCAAAGGATAGATGATTCAGAGAAGTGAGGGTCACTCCAGCAAATGTGACATGGGAATTTCTCTAGGAAGTAGACATAGGTACCAGAATTCAACCTGATGTTCCTCAACACCATGTGTAGTCAGGTAAGGAAATTGCTGACTGATTTTTTAGGAATCATTCTCTATGATGATGATAGAAAAAAAAATTTAGAAGTGTCACTGGCTGAGTTATTCTTTTCCAAGCTCATTCTGGGTTCTTTAGCTTGAAGAACTAACCAAGGAAAACACAGGGGTTTAGTGTGGTTTCATTTCATCAGAACAATCCTGAAAATGAGTTTTCTTGAAGGAGTATTTATTCAAAGTGGGAATTTCTAATGAACAGTGGAAGCTCAGAGAGAAAATCTAGTTTGTGTCAATCAGCCATGTAAAGAGCCATACTAATCCAATCAGAAACAATGCAGCAAGTGCTGTCTCACACATCCAACTGCAAAATTGTTCAATCACTATCAGCTGCTTCCACTGCTAAATGGGCAACAGCCCAATGTCATTTGGGGAGGAACCTAAGGAGGAAAGAACCAGGAAAAAAATGGTCAATGCACAGACTGAAGCAGAAAAGAAGTTTCATGGTTGTTGTAATTCTGCTGAGACGCAACCACTGCCTCTACTGTCTCCTGGGCAGCCACCATGGGATGGCTTTACTCTGAAAAATACCCGTGAGCATGCACTGGGCATGGATTTTCAGGCCTTTGATGTTCTGCCAGACTCTCCAACAGTTAAAATGTCTACTAAAAACATGTGAGTGCAATGTGAATGTCCCCAAGGGAAAAAGTAGGGCAGGCTGTTGTACCTCCACAGCTAGAACTCACCCCAAAAAAGATCAGAGCTATTTCAGTAACCACAAAATATAAAAGTTAGGCTGAAGCCTGCCTAGAAACCTGCCTAGTAACAGAGTGATAAATTAAGTACATCTACTTATGGTATCTGTACGCTGCAGCTTTACAGGAGCATTTAGGTGAGGAAAGCTGGGCTTGGCCCCTGTGCAGGGCTCCCTGCTCCCCAAACTCCCACCTGCACAGGGTCCTCAGTGCAGCAGCAGCAGAACACCTGCTTTCTCACAGTATCACATCTGAAGCATTTGCAAAATTCAGCCCTAATAGATGGCCACTTGCCTTCCTAACATCCTGAACCTCACTAGAAATTTCACTAGTGTTTTTTTTGTCCCATGTTTTTAGAATTACACCAATGTATTTCTTTCACACAGTAGTCTCATTAGAGTGTTTTAATTCATTTTCTGTAGTCCATAATTAATATTTTTAGTAAAGCACTTTTAAAATCCCTCCTCTGCTCTTATTGTTCCCAGCTCATGTCTGGGTTCCACGTATTTTTACCAACTAAGCTCCACATGTTTGGTGAGACATGTCTTTGTCTTTGCATACCCATGAGTTTAGAGCCTTCTTTCTGTCTTTCACTGATAAAGTCTTAGAGCCATTTGTTGAAGAATAAATCCAACTTTTCCTACACAGCTTTTTTCTCTCTAGAGAATGTCAATACTTGTCACACATACAAAAGCATGATCCAGTGCATGCTGCAGGGAAATGCAAAATCCATTTAGTCTGTCATATTCTAACTGCTTTTGGGAAGCAGCAAAACAGGGAAGATGAAAGCCAAGGTCCCTGAACTCAAAAATCACCCTTCTTCTCTCACTGAGGTATATTTTCAAGCTGCCAGCAAGAGAATAATTTGAAAAACATATCCATCCTCATATTTTTTAATTTTTCTGAGTGGCCTCTCAGAACAAGTGTTTCAACCACTATAACTTGCCACTGGCTGCAAGACACAAAGCAAGGCTGGCATCTTGGAACATAGGAATTTCCACCTGAATATGAGGAGAAACTTCACTGCAAGGGAGAGAGAGCACTGGAACAGGCTGCCCAGAGATGTTGTGGAGTCTCCTCTGGAGATATTCAAAGGCTGTCTGGACACAATCATGACTAAAGCGCCCTCAGGGACCCTGCTTGAGAGGGGTTTGAACAAGATGAGCTCCAGTGTTCCCTTCCAGACATACCCACTCTGTGATCTCTCAGGAACTCTTCACTCCTCGTGCACTTGAGGAAATGAAAAGGTGGGTGTTGTATCTTACCAGCTGAAGCATCTCTGCTGAAATTTTCCATCTTGTGCAGGCGCTAGAAATCCCATGGCCACTGGGTGTCAGCATCTGTGCTTGGATGCAGAGGACATGGAAAGCAGGTGCAGCATCGGTGCCGCCAGAATTTAGTATTTAGTGCATGAAAATTAAATAGAGGAGATAATATCTCTGTCACATTAAGAAAGAGAAGTCTTGTTCTTTCTGTACTGTGAAGCAGAGACGTGTCACAGCTTTGCTCCATCGTCAGCTCTGGTGAGATGGAGGGGTAACATCACCTTGTGCCTCTTGGCATCATGACCACGGCCCAGTGCTGCTACACTGACCAGATCTGTGTCCCCCAGGGCATGTGCCAGCCAAAACCAACCCCTGCCACTGCCCTCCTCCATGAGCAGCCACAGAAAGATCCCATCAGCCCTGACTGGAGGTTTGACTGTGCCCTGCTGTGTGTCCCTGCCTCGCTCTGGCACCCTGGGCCCCCGTGGATCTCAGCACTCATCCCTGAGCCATGGCAACTCCAGGCAGTGCCCAGCTCTTGGAAGGACAGCACAGCCCTTCTGGCTGCAGCTTCTAGATGTCAAGGCTTTGGGACTGCAGTAGCTAATGATATAATCCAAAATCCAAAGAGCTTCACAGGCCATGGCAGGTTTGCAGCTCACTGCCTTGTGTGGCATTTGTTCATTTGAGAGCATTGTTAACCTCTTTATGTAGAAGCTAAATTTTCTCAGGAGGGTCTCTGGTTTTCACAGCTTCAAGGCAAGCAAATACAGCTGATGCATGTGCTTGACAGAACAATTCGAGGCAACATATTGTGGCTGAGCTGTCTGAACAGCTGAAATGGCTCTGCAAATTGTCTGTGTCAAGATACCCTTCCCAGAGTACAGAGAGATAAAACAACCAGCTGAAAAATGACAGACACCGCAAGGCTTAGCCCAAAATCGAGGATTCATGTCCCTGCCATCCTGGGCTGCTTGCCTCCTATGTGGATCTGCATCCAGACACAACATGGGAGTGCTACATTCAGGAAATTAAATGCCATTTCAGCAAGTCTCACAACATCAGACACATTAAAAAAAAAAGGGAAAGTAATTTAAAAATATTAAACATGGCTTTAATATTTCCTTTCTCGCTGGGTCTGCCCAGGAAACAATGTCAGTGTTTAAGTGGGTCTCAGTCCAGGGAGAGCTGAGTGTGGGTGCTTCCTTAAGCTGGGAGGCTGGGTGAGCACCTGGCAGTGCTGCTGTGGTCCCCGTGGTGCATGCACTCATCTCGGACACCGAGGACAGCCTGCACAGCACCTCTGACTTCTCTGAGATGCCAAATGAGGTTGCACTGCCCAGCCTTCGATGGGAGGTGCGAAAGGTTCCTGCAGCGGCTGTGAGGGGATTTGAGCCATGGCCATCAGCGATCATCCACAAGTGATGGGTTTTGTTTCCTTGCCTGGGAAGCTGTGAATGGAGGTGACAAAGCCATGTCGCACCTCTGTCGTGCTTGGATGTCCCACCTCGCCAAAGCGCCAGCAACCCGCAGGAGTTATTTTCATTTGGGAAAAAAAAGTACTTAATATCATGGGGGTTTTTTACAAACCAGGGAACACCTTCCTTTGATGTTATCTAGATATCATAGTGAATTAAAAACAAAGGGTGGCAGAATACCCTTCACTGGAATTCATGCAGTAATGGAGAAAACATGCATAGCAAACAAGCATGCAGAGCCTAATCTTCCTGGGCATTAGAGCCTCCCTGCAAGGCTGCTCCTGGCCATGCCACCCACCCTGCATGGGTGGGTCACATGTACCCCAGGCACGGGTACCTGTAACACAAGAAACAGCAAACAGATGCCAACAGTGTGTTAAACCACCCAGAGCAACAGCTGTCCTGCAGAAGGCCCAAACTTGAGCAGCACATACAGATGTAAAGCTGCTCTAAATTTTAACAAATGCAGGCAGTGGTCTAACATGTAGGTAAGAGTAATGTGACATGGCTACAGAAAATTTACACAGGAGAAGGAAACAGAGACAAAAGACACAGGATCCCATCCTGTCTCTAGGTACCCAAACATCCTTTGGATACTCACAGGTCTGACTACAGTGCCAGGGCTGCCCTGGGAGCTTGAGAGAGTCACTGTTCCACCAAGAGGTCCCCACCTGATGCATGAAACCCAGAAGAGAATAGTTCTTGGCTTTTATCTGATGATGTTCCAGCTCTTAACTGTTGAAATGGAAATACATCCCAACCTTTGGGGCTCTCATATTGATCTTGGCTGGTAGCTGCCCAGAACTTTGTGCCCATGATGCCAATTTATTTAGAAACACTCACACTGAGAAGACAATAACCTTGTTGCCTGCAAGGTTCAGCAAAGTTCACTTTTAACAACTGAGAGCTTAAAAGGCCAACAGCACAATTTACTTAACCAAAGAAAAAGCATGAAGTTCCTGGCTGCAGCAACAAGGAGAAGTGTTTTTAAAAAGTCAGGCAGTGCAAGCACAAAGCAGTCTCAGCCCTGAAAGCTTCTCACCAGCGTTTGCTCAACCACACCAGCTGAAGGCAGCCCAAAAGGACATTA